ACTGTACACTAAACGGCAACATTTTAGTCGTCATATAATTTTAATATTACATGCAATATATTAGGATCTGCTTCGAAAAACAACAACACAGAATTAACGGAAACGTTTGAATGATTTAAGAAAAAATAAACTACATATGTATATGGATCATGGCTTAATGGCATTATGCACTTATGCAAGGTTTCGTTACCTTTCCGAATTATAATACCGGTACATCAGATTTGACATAATAACCTTTACTTATTATAAGACATAAAATCTCACCCGAAAGTTCGTTAAATAGTGAATATGTTCTTCCGTGTTTGTAATATGCACATTAATGGCTTGTACACCCACAATATATTAGACTCCAATTTTGTTGTAAAATTTCAATATTACATTGTTTATATAAAAATGCCCTAATCTGAAAATAATGTATCAGCATACTGGTGTCCCTTAGGCAACGTTTCAGTTTATAGTTATTGTTGCATTAAAAGGATAAATTGAAGCAGCATTAGTAACATTTTGCAGAGGTCGGCCTGAATTCACACAGCAGTCGTTTACTGCCACATCCATCTGCATAAATTTATCAATCCCATATAGGGTTTCAATTATACTTTTTCTTCTAAGGTAGGTAGGGGTTTCTTCAGCCTGGAGCGATATTCTACTTCATTCCTTTGTGTATGCTGCTGATTTTAGACGCTGCTGCTTTTTAGTATCCACTACATTTCCTCCGCAAGCAATAAGACGTCAATGGCCATAAAAGAAAAGTTTATTCAACCGGTTTTTGTAAATTGCTCTCCTTGGTGGTATGTCTGTCTGTTCTACGAACAGATGCAAAGTGTTTGCTTCTTAGACTAAAGTGAAGTAGAATGGAGTAAAAATGGAGTGTGATTTAGAAGGAGAAAAATACGACGAAGTTTTTAGTGCTTTTGTAGTAAAACGCATTACCTTCTATGAATGAACGTCGTCTTAGCCATATTTACTATTTTTATGAACAAGTTATTAACAATGCCACTTTGAGGCTACAGCGAATGCATTTCGAAATGGGATTGAAACCTTATAAGAGAAAAGTGATGACATGTTAATCGTTTATTTGTTGAGGATGTAAAATGTTGAATATATCTTTAAGAACAAATTATTTACACTATACATTCATATACTTGCAAAGAGGAAAAAGTGAAAACTAAGGCTATGTTTGACTGTGGAAAAACATTATATATGTTAAAAAATAATATCAGAACTTCCGGGTAAAAAGAATTCAGTAATTTCTGCTGATTTTGATAACGGAAATAAGGTTATCCAAAGATAAGTGTCATGTCGCTCTATTTATGAAAGCATTTTTATATAATCTGGAAATCTGCAGCCATACTATACCATATTTACTATCATACTCCCCCTCAAACCATTGGATGTATATTACGGTGTCCAGCACTGGGAATTTGAGCGCTCCTGTTCAGACCAAAAATTGAGCTGAGTATTCAGATTTTAGGCTTGCGTACATGCGACATATGTTTGTAACATATCCTTCATTTATTTCGATTACATTTATTTCATATCAACCTAGAATACCCCGACAGAGGCGAAACACCATTTTTACACCATTGCTCGACTTAGTTCATAATCATTTGATGTAGCGAACTACTATCTTGGCAGGTTTTATAAATTTACTCATTCCTTATAAATTATAATAAAAATATTGGATTCAGATTATTTTTTCAAATGTATTTGCACACTTTATGGGGTTTCATGCTATTTCCAAAATTAAATCAATATTTTAATATAAACATAAATGCATTTTACATTTAGTGTATGGTTGGAAGTTGTAAGTGTACGATGACATGAAACAACAATAAAGTCATTGCTGTTATTACAACAAAGTTAAAAAAAATAGTTTTGCAATACACAATGCAATTTCATTGAAAACTACAATCATGGCACTGTGGTGGTCCCCTACAATGCGATTTTCTTTAAATGGATGTTGGTTTTAGTTTCATGCCATGCCTGTCCCCTAAGTAGACGTTTACGCACCATTAAATGATTTAGCCCATCTCCCACTCTGTCCTTGTCAATGCTATAGCGGTTGTTGGACAGATTGTCGTCGTCGTCGTCAGATTATCTTGGTTGTGTATGAGTTCGTCGTTTTTTTTTTGGAGACTATAAGTCGGTCTGTTTGCAAACTGGTTATTATTCTCAGGCTGCTGTGTGCCTGGATTGCCTTGGACGATTTTCATTATACAGTTGTAATGAAGCAAAACGCCTAGAGTGAACCACACATGCCAGCAGATGACAGAGAAGACATGTACCGAGTATGTATGTGGCTTGAAACTTGTATTTGTTTTGATTTTATTTTCCGTGCCACTTTACAAAAAATAGTTTTGTTATTATTACAAACAATTTAAGTTATGAATTGCATGGAATTGTGGAACTGGACAAGTATTTGAGATTAACCCCCATAGGGTGGTGGTGTTGAAACTGCAGACGTTTTTTTTCTTGTCCAGTGATTCATTAACATGATAACATTTGTTAATTTTATTATTACTTTGGAGAATGTGTAACTTATATTCTGTTTGACAGCTTATACATCGGTAATTTTCGATTGCTCTTCGCCGGCATTAGTGGGTTAATACTTTACTCTGCAATATCTACCATTTATGTTCTGTACATCAACTTAGTCTGGGAAAGCAATCTTATATTTTCTTTATGCTTTAGATATTCAACCTCAACCTACTTTCAATGACATGAAATGCTTACGCGTAAACAAACACATAAGTAGCTGCCATTTTCTACAGTTTGAGGCGTGATAAAAATATATAGCGGTTTAGGCATTGAATAATCCTCTTCAAATTCGAAAACGCGAATTAATATTTCTTTTTACATTATTTATTGGAAGAACTCTTCAACTTTCATTAAGGTCTTGTCCTTATATGTTCGAATATTAAAATGTTGGCTGGCAGATCATGTTAAAACTTCAATTTTGTATTATTGTATTTTTAATATACCTCTAGACTTTTTCAACAATTTTGAGGCCTACATTGGAACGTGAAATATCCCCTTTGTCATTATTTTTTTAAATATCTAGCTATTCTTCATCTCTTTAAAGTGACATTAAACCATACCACAAAAAAGCACTGTTCTTATTAAATGTTTACTCACTGCAGGTTGTTTCTTTTTATTTGAATACGTTGCTGTTGTGGAAAACTTAAGGTGTGTATTTGTATTTAGGAAAATTGCATTGCATAACGGAGGGTGTTTTATTTTCAGCTCACTACTCACCAATCCGGTATAATTAAAATTTTCAATTTGGGTCAGTTGCTGTTGCTTGTGAAATATCTACACTTAATCGCATAACGCCGACTTGTGCATTTGAATACAGGAATTATTATTGCGTTTTTTTTAATGTGAGGAAGCTTGCTGTGTTATGGATACATTGTCGCATTTCAATTACATGTATGTTGGTGTACAAAAGTGGAGTGTAGGCAGACCGACAGACATTCCTTGCATAAATATTTTTAATTCGTTGTGTGCCAAAAAACATGCGTTTAGCGAATTAAATAAAAGTATATGTGTGTGTTTTTTTTTTTATAGAAATTAAAGACTTTTTATGAAATTTTGGCTAGACAAAGTAAAAATAGAATTCGGCAGTATTGGTATAGAAAACAGCCCATTTATATATATATTACATTACTTTGGTGTGTCTAAGTATTTCGGATATTTTTCATAACTCCAAAATATCTTGATACATCTAATACTAACTTTCCAGAAAAGAACAAGTTATGACCAGGTTCACAATTTAAAACTTTATCACAATTTTTTTTTATAATTGGCCTTGTCAATATGCATTAAATTTATCATACAGAATACTTGAAGTGTGTTTTACATGACAATAGTTCTAATTAATATCATTGGCTGATGGATGAGCATATATGTTTATTGAGGGGATGTATGGTAATTGTGGTCAAAATTCTTGAATGGTTCAATATGTAATCAGCGATATGATAAGGCAAGATCTACATATGAAATACCTTGAGAGGTGGCTTTACTATCTTTTAAAGGTCATTAACCTTCCACCGTTAGACAGAATCCATTCGTCCGTTACATCAATAGATGTTGTAATCCATTTTTAATTGGAAGCGGTTCCGTTAAGTGGGTTTTATACCATTAACAGGTATTAACAATTGATGCTAGATTTGTCCATAACAAATTATTGAAATTTTTAAATCATAAATTCGTCGTCATTTTTTAATTCAATCCCTATGTCGTTTAGAGGCAAATTGCCTTCAAAGCTTCGAAACAATTTGTCCCCATTTATCGCATGACATACCTCGTATTATTGTGTGTGTACAATGCATTTCTAAAAATAAAATTCATTTTCAACGAAACAGATGTTACAATAGAATAGGCCGATGTATGTCGGGAATCTTGATGTCAGAACAGTTCACATTTCTGTCATTAGTGAATGCGACATCAACACCGCAACTATCGATTGGAACGTAATACGTGTTTTTTGTTCATGAAATGGAAAATTAACACATTATTAAAATAAGTTAATTTTAATATAACATTTTGTTCCTTGTATCCAGTAGTCATAATGTTTATGTTCCCTATGTTATATTTTTCATTCGATTGAAAATATAACATGTTGATCTAGATATTTATTCGTTTTAACCACATTTACACCTTTGTTTGTATTCGAAATGTTTGCTATTTATAAATATGCACATTTATAAATACTATTTCAAAGACGACAACAAAACGTGCATATCATCAACAAAACGTGCATATCATCAATGTATATAAAACACGATTATAGAAATATTCACTTCCTTTATTGTTTGAATAAAAACAAACCGTTTTTCTCGATTCACATTTAATTTTAACAACAAGGAAATTTCTGAAAATGACAATAAACAACAAGAAGGATTGACTGCATTCAGTTTATAAACAAATGTTTGTTTACAATTTCCATTTTCCATGTGTCTATTTGTTTTTAAACCATTCCTTTCCTTTTCTCTTTTTAGATCTATCGCGCAATCGATTTTGCGAATTACCCGAAGAGATCACGACATTTTCATTTTTGGAAACATTGTTGTTGTATCACAATACCATACGCAGCATACCCGAATCGGTGAAACATTTAACATCGCTAACATATTTGGATTTGCGTAGCAATCAATTGTCATCATTGCCACGTGAATTGTGTTTCCTGCCACTGCAAGTATTGCTCGTATCGAATAATCGTTTGACCGCACTACCCGATGAATTGGGTCGCATGGATCGTCTGACCGATTTGGATGCGTCGTATAATCAGTTGACAACATTACCGGCGCGCATTGGAGAGCTGAGATCGTTACGATCATTTTCACTGCGCAGCAATCAATTAATGTATTTACCTCGAGGTGAGTGTCCGTCAAGGGGCTGTGTGTGTATTATGTTTCGATTGTGGGATTAATGTTGTTTGTTGTTGTGTCTGTTTCAGAATTAACTTGTCTCACATTGGTTTCATTAGATGTATCCAATAATCGCATTTCTAGTCTACCTCTTGAAATTCGCCAGATGTCAACGCTGGTCGAAATAAATCTAGAAAATAACCCTATGACATCTCCACCAGCTAGTGTAAGTATTTAAAGATTATTTTTGGGAATAATTTATGGCAATGAATAAGTTCGAGAAATGGGGAAATTGTTTTCGAATTGTATAAAGAGCTGAAAATATCGAATTTTAAAAATATGAGGAGTTTTTATATTTCAGTGCACAAACGGTTTACTGATAATGAAAAGTTGAGAAAAGCGAAGATGAAATGCATGTTGTTTTTAAAATCTCTTTTAACTTTAAAAGTAGATTGATTATTTTATATTGTAAAGCTGAATATATAATATTAAGAAATTTTAAAAACAGCATACATTCCATCATCTTCTTTCTCGACTTATCGTTTTAGGGAGTTAATCGATGTGTGCACTGAACAGATCATATAGCTATTTGTTTCTATCAATCTGACCTTGATGTACTAGATTTTAGTTTGTATTCGTATTAAGAAGGAACGAACAAATTTAAAAATTACAAATATGATGATCAATTACCACCCCAGAGTGCCAAGTTATAGCCAATTCCCACGAAGAACATGACTGAAATCAATTGAAACCCGAATTGCTTGATTTTAAATAAGTTTCTTGTAAAATGTCGATAAACTTCCACTTGTGAATGGCCCTCTTGCAAATCAGCTTGCTGCTGATAAATTCTGGTCAACATTTATCAAAACCTTAATGGACTGATGGTTAGGTTTCGAGTTATCAAATTACTTATTTATAAACATTGTTTCATTATAGCTATGTGTTCGTGGTCTGGTTCATGTTTTTAAATATCTGGAGACGCAGGCTACCAAAGATGAGAAAGGGTCACGGGCAGGTGGTAACTATGATGGGTATACAACTCTACGACGAGCACCACGTAATCAGGCGGGCGGAAATGTTGTTGATACACATCGCCATGGCAGACATCATGTGGATTCCGGTTATAGTACATGTGATGGCATCGATAAAAGATGGTCTCATGATATGCCAAGTAAGATGAAAATGTTTAATTATTTCATCAACTGGAATTAATTATATACATATTTTGTTATAGTTAAATCTAAAGCGGATTCTCCCAAAGTTTTAACGCCTACAACACCACCACTGGCAAAGGCGACATTAGTTACTCCAGATCTCATGGATTCATCATTAACATCGAGCACAAGCACTATAGTAGATGAATCACTTAGTGTATCAGCGGCTGTGGTTAAACCTCTGAATATGGAAAGTCAGTCTACGGAGAATTTAGCGAGTTCTCCACTCAAAACCAATAAAGATGAGAACCGTATGACAAACAATGTATCACCGCAATTGCATAACAACTACCATAGCCACAATATCTCAGGTTCCAGTAATGGATCCACACCAGATCTCGACGATGGTATGATCGATCATCATGAACTGCAACAGCAACAATTGTCACAAACAAATTCCAAACAAGATGATAAGTTTAATAAGAATTTAGGGAATGTACAGACTTATAGGTAAGATATTGCACAATATATGCATGAATAAGTTTGCTCTAACTCTGTTACAACTTTATATTTGCAGAGAATATAAAGAAGCTCTCAAACAGCAACGCAGTCAGGAAGTTTATAAAATCAAAGAACAAAAGCATATAAACGACTCCAATGAACAGCATCATCTACAATCGAATAATTCAGCTGTTGTGCCCCCAAATAATCAAGCCCCTGCCAATGATGACATGGAAATCCGGCTGAATGGCAACACGCAAACTGCACCAGTGCCAAAATCCATAATGAAAAATAGTGCCAACAATACGAATGGTTTAACCAACGCTTCAGTAGCCACAACGAATGGCGATGATATTGTAGTCATACCAAAGAAACCCATACAAAAGGTTATACCCTCTAGGAATACCGAACTGATGTCAGCGACAGTGAAGAACGAATTATCTGCAACCAATAACACAAATGGCGATTGTATTGGCTATGTAAAGCCAAGTAGTCCTATGAAAATGGTCAATGGTACTTCAAATGGGAGTATAAATACGGCCACAGTATCAGGTGTTGGAGTGGGTATTTTAACGAATAATAATAAGTTCACAACAACGACTGCAGGAAGTGGCATTAGCAACAGCAGCAGTAACAATAAATTGGTGGCAACTGGAAAGCCACATCGGTAAGACGGTTTTAGTAAGTGTGTAAAGCTGAATTATTAGATTATCATTCTTATTTAGCACTGTTACTTGGAATCATGATATACCACCAGAAAAGTTGAGTTTTACCATGCGTCGGGAGTTTGATCGGCAACGAGAAGAGATTGAATTAATGACACAATTACGAAGTGTATGTACATCTCATTATTATTTATTCCATACTGAAATTTAATAACAATAATATTTGTTTTTGTAGATTATTGAAACCCGTTTGAAAATGACCCTACCCGAAGACATTGCATCGGCATTAACAGATGGTGTTATATTGTGTCATCTGGCAAATTATGTAAGACCTCGTTCAGTGGCCAGCATTCATGTTCCCTCGCCAGGAGTAGTGAGTTTTTCCAATACCATAAATTACACAATAAATTATGAAATTGCTAAACGATTGTCATTTGTATATTTTGTTTTGCAGTCGAAGTTAACTATGGCTCGATGTCGTCGAAATGTGGATAATTTTTTGGAAGCATGTCGCAAAATTGGCGTTGATGAGGTGAGTACAGTTATATTACAATTGTTTCTGTTTTCCTTTTAAACGCATTCCATTCTGTTATTAACATGTCCTTTTAACAAATTCTAACATATTATGCCCATACAAACAAACATATGTTTGGGCATTTACATTGAATGGCTTTAGTTTTTAATTAAGAAATCATAGCAAACAAAATAATACAAATAATAATAATTTTTCAAAGACATTTTATTGTAGTTTGAATTTTATTGATTTATGTGTAGTTCGATTGTTGCTAATATCTTCTATAATTTGAAATAATGGGAAATAATGTAGTTTAAAATATTATACTAGTTTTGTTGGAATATCAGCTTTGGGACATTTGCATGAGAATATATTTCATTTAGGTACAAGTGAAAATTGAAACTGAAATGTATATAGTACGAGAGCAAGATGATTTTTTTAGTATAAAGTTTTTAAAATAATAATAATTATGAATTGACTAATGAACTTAAATAAGAGCTAAAAATGTATAGCAAGCAGAAATATAAGACAAATGTAATCACATCATAATTTAAAAACAACTCACCATCTTTATTTCTTGTCTACGTATTTTCAATTATTTAGTGCTTGTAACTTACAATTAGAAAAGCGCAATATAAATAGGAAACTTCATTCTATGATGATAAGGAAATCTTTGGAATGTTACAATGCTATGTTAATGGTATTTATTCCGAAGAAGAGCCTTTCCTACATAACATTTGTCATCTACATAGAAAATGCTCTATCGATCCAGTTCTATTTCATCCTCACATAAACAGCAGTATTCCACTCCATTTATTTTCAAATTGACTCGTTTTTCCCTGTGATTACAATGATATAGATTTCGAAGTTCTGCACTCCGGCCAGCTTTCTTGTAATAAATCTTGTGGACTTTGCCAATCTGCATATAGGAAGACTGTGACACGCATCGAGCGAACTAATCAGACCTTTCATTCCGAGTTATTTCGCTATGTTCTGGAACCCACCAAGAAAGAATAACGACTCGTAGTAAGTCATGTAGATCAACTGTACAGTCATGGACCGCTTTGTCGATTTCGTGATTTTTAAGAGTTCTGCTTGAAAGGCGCAAAAAGTTCGTTAATTTTATTTGATTTTTTTATAGTCCTTCATAGTAAATACATACGCCAGTGCCTTCTTCCATCTTGGATGACAGACCAGCTATCGTGTAGATTCAGTAAATAAATAAATTTAAAAAACTGTTCGTCTGTTTTGATAGCTCGTATGTGTAGTTAAATGCTCTTGAAAATTTATCCTGAATATACGATATACGAATTGTTGCTATATTCGTGCTATATGACAAGCTATTCATATTCAAATTTAGGCCACGCCATTGTATACGACTATCTTCTTATTTACTAGATTCTTTCGTTACTTTGTCTGGCGTATACATTATTAGCATTGGCAAACTCCTTATCTCGATAATTATGTAGTACTGAGAGTAACAAACATGAAACATGCTCAAAGCTTTTAAAGTGTGTCTTGAAGACTGCAGTAAATTTCCATATGTTGTAAAAAGTAATATTTATGTTAATAAATTACATATTTCTTATGAAAAATATATTATGAAAATCGTTGGAATCGATAAGTTGAAATTTGATTATTAGTATTTAAACACAAAAAATATATATTTTGTGCCTAAAAGTAGGCAATGTTTCATGTCTCTGCAATATCACAACAGATAAAATCCAATTTATGTAGATAAGATACTTTCAAAGTAATATAAAAGTAAGTTCTTCACTTGTATTCTATTCATGCAAGAAACTAAACTATTTTCAAATTTTTATATTGTATAGAGTGTTTTCTTTAGTAATAAATGCAACAAAAATAAAGACTAAAGCTATTCATGTAAACACCCAATATTATCATTATATGGAATTAAAATACCCTGCCCCACCTCACAACTCCTCACTTAAAGAAATAGTTGTATGACAAAATAGTTTACAAATGAATCTGTTATTTGGTGTTGGTTGCAGGAGTTGATTTGCTCCTGTGCGGATGTTGTACCCCTCTATGACAATGGTGTTGATGATGAAGATGCAGTTGATGGCGGTGACAATAGTACGCAGCAATGTGGTGACAGCAACGTTCGAAAGAATGACTTTCAAGAAAATAATAATCAAAACGATTTAAATTTTTCAATCAATGACCAACAACGACAAACAGTCGTACAGCCACAACGCAAAGAACTACCAAATATTACTGCTGTTTTAAAAACAGTTGCTGCTCTAATTGCTTTGGATATGAATCCTCATCATCAGAATGTTACAAATTTGCAACAGCAACACGACTTTCAAATGAAATTGCAACAATATGAAAAGAAACAGCTAAAATTGAAGCTAGACAAAGAAGACAAACGGCGTTGTGTTCTCTTGGAGGAAGTCGAACGAGAACAGGAGGAAGAAAAAGAAATGAAAGTGCTGCAACAAATGAAGGGCAAACAATCGCAGCCAGAAGAGCAAAAACAATTTACTGCAACTTGCACCAAAGAACAGATGATGAGGGAATTTGAAAAATCCAATTTTGAACAATTCAGTCGTTACGATAGTAACAGAAATGTTGATGATGGTGATGATCATAAACATCGTGATTACATTGTGTATCATGATGATGAAAAGCAGCAACAGCAGCAGCTACGTCAACCAAAAGTTCATACATCTCTTGGTAACTTTTATCGCCATTGTAAATTGAAAACGTTTCAAAAAATAAAACTGAATCTCATAACACACCATGGCAATACGTCGGATAATTTCGGTGGTTCTTCGGAATTGAATACAACAACGACATTACAAACCATTGTTGAAACCGACAACGATGTTATCTCTGGCATTGGCGGTGGTTATACTGGATCGTCCACAAATACATCTGGCCTCTATCAAATAGTGGACGAGAAATACAATAACGAATTGTCACTAAAGGTCATAAGTTCCTTGAACGAAATGTCGGGATCACAAACACCTAACAAATATCAACTGTTGGAATTGCCTTCTACGGAGAAGAATAATGCCGAGAAGCCATCTCTAACAACAGCCACTTCAGTGTCCAAACGTATAGAGTTCTTTGAACATGCCAATATACCTAATGGCGGTATAATCAAACCAAAATCAAACATCTACAGTATTTATCGTGTCAATGAAGCAGCCGTTGAATCCGAGAAGAAATTATTAACCAAAGAAGTCTTGCTAAAGGAAAAGGAAGCTGGATCTTCCATATTTATGCTGAGACATGATTCACACACGTTAACCATAATTTTGTCTTGTGTTTTTATTGTGACATTTTTATTGTTGATTTTCTTCCCACTACCGGGATAAGTAAGGGGATTTGTTCAGGGATTGTCGTATGAAAAGAATCCCTGATAGAATACGTTTTCTATTCGATTTATTTAGCCGCTGCATTGCCATTTTAGCTTAATGCCAATTTAATATTGAACAATGATTGAAATCATAAATGTGTAACACACACACATGCATACACGTTCGAATAGCTGAAGTATAATTTTTTTACAAATGCTGCTTTTATTCTCTATCAATGAGTCAAGTATACAATAATTTAATATTTATTAGAGGCTGCTTCCATTTTAAGCAAAGTACTTAAATAATTTATAATATTTACAATACAAAATTAAGAAATGAACTTATAATCATTTTATTATAACGATGAATAACGAATTTTATTAAATAGTAATTTATTCTATTTCAATATTTATTGTAATTTTTAAGTAATTATATTCCCAAATGAACAGAAGACACAACATAACTATATATACTAATATATACAACACGAATGCATTTATACATGAAAAAAACTATAATATTAACAGACATACACAGACACTAAATCCAAAGACTTGAACTGAATTAAATTAAACATATATATAAATATTCCATTTTATAATTTCCTTAATATAGTTTCACCAATGAAACTCTAAACCAGAAAAACGAACCAAACAAACTATATATTAAAACTTATAACCGATTCTTGTTCAGTATTAAAAAAAAACAACAAATTACAAATTTTGTATGGTTTATTTAAAGTGTTTGCATATTTTCAATTTAGTTAAATACCAATAAAAGAGAATGACACGAAATAGGTACATGGATTCGCCAAAAGGCTCTTAGATTTTAAAATACAAATGAATCTCGAAAATTTTTCAAACACTTTTTATACAATTTGTATCTCCTAATTGATACCTATGAGCATTATTTTATTTATATTAATACAACTAAAATTGAAAAAGTTTGATTTTTATTTGTAAATTTTAATACTATTAACACGTTTTCTTGTTGTTTTTATTTCTTTAAACAATTTTAGATTATAAATACACATTTTTTTTTTACAATTTGAAATGTGACGTTAATCTCTCGTCTACCCCATGAATTGAAAAACAAACGATTGAATCTGATTTTATATGAAAAATTAACTATATACATTTATTTAATTGTATACTGAATTTATTCACTAATTTAAGTATATTACGTACTCTGTTTAAACTTCCTTTAGACTGAATGAAAAAATAACGTAAATAAAATGATCAAAAAGAAGGTTTAACTAAAAAGCAGGGAAAGTGTTTACTAGAATTGTAGTAGCTGATGCCAAGAACTAAAAAAAACGAAAAAAAACAAAATTAATATTTAAATGGAATCATATTGAACATAGTTTTCACATCCTTTGCACCAATTTATATACACAGATATAAGTATGAATGCATACAACAACAGAAACAAGCAAAGAAACAAAACGTAACAATCTGAAAATATTCGAATACACAGTGCCTTAATATTGAAAGTTGTTAATGGTCACGGTCAAAATAGTTGGCGTTCATTAATTTTATAGTGAATGCGTGATCTGTGAACATTTTAGAAATGAGTGATGCAACAAAAGAAATTGGAACCTTGACTAATGTGTTAACTTAGAATTGCCAAACTGAATCCCCTTGGAATCTTATCAATATGATTTCATTGCTAATTACATACATACACACATACATAAATATATATTTTTATATAATAACACTTAACACAAAAACTAACATTCCTCTAATTTCATAGAAAATAAAAAAAAAATAAAACGACAAATATTGAAATCAAATATCTTTAAGAGAATTCGATATAGCTTTTAGTAGAAATAGAATATAAATATAAATGAAACGGAAAATTGAAAAAAGAACCAATATTGTTCTAATGAATTTTATTACGGCACTTCCCATACACAGATATTTATAAATAAAATAATATATATATTTTACAAAATAACAAAAATCTTGCATTTATGAGAAAAAATTCAACTATTTATCAAAACTATACATATACACATAACACTGCGTAACAAATTTTCTATTGTGAAAATATTACCGAGCGCGATTACAAATGAAAATGAAAGTACATTAATAATTTTGAAAAAAAATAAAATTGATATAGAAAAAGTTTTAAATGGTCGAATTTTTTAAAAAACTAAAATGGAGTAGTTCAAATTCAATTAAATTTTTTTTAATGAAAGTACATTTTTTTATATTTGTGAATTTAAAAAAAAAATAATAATAAATAAAATTGATTTTTTATAGAAAAAGTTTTAATCGGTATAATATTCTTTAGGCCGCTTAATACGATAAATTTTATATTTAATTGTGAAATGTAGCTAAAATGAAGATATATAAATAAATAAATAAATAAATATCGCTAAATGTGTCCAGTAAGAACATTCTATTGGTTCTCTGTTAAATTTTAGTAAGAATTCATTTCATAAATTAAAAAAAAAATAATTAAATAAAAAATAAATTAAAGCTTGATTTAAATTCAATCAAGATAAAATTCTATATATTGTCTTTGGATTTTTTTTCTACACTATATATATATATATATATAATGTACTTTTTTATAATTCATTTGTGAAAATTTGTCTCGTGTTACATAGTGTAATACGATAATACAATAATGTTTTATTTATATAAACAATATATATATATATATTGTCAATACAATATATGTATGTATGGATTTAATACATAGCTTAGTACATTTTTAGATAGTATTACAAACTTGTCCCAAAAAAGCATACGAAACAAAAAATTCTTGTACTAATATAGTACATTTGCATTTATTTATTTAACACGCTATTATATAACAGCTAATAATCAATGAATTATTAATACACACACGTATACACCAATATAAAAACACAATCGTATTTATTCTATAAGCGAAATGTTCTGTATAACAACAAATAATATATGAACTAATTTTGATACTAAATATATGAATAAAAAACCAACAAACTTATGTTATTGAATTTTATTATATGGTTTGTGCAAATAATCAATAATTAATGAAAATAGTTCCAATATTCCCTTCTGTTCTGTACTAGAATAATTAAAAAGCGTTTCCATAGTCGCGTTTACGTCAACAATACTTGTAAAATTATTTAAAATTTCGGAACTAAAGATGACAAAGCTATAGGTTGCAGATTACCCCTTTTCGTGTGTCATCTAATAAGTTCTGATATAACTTTCACTTGTAATATGAACATTTGACTTTGAACTTCGTTAAAGAATTCAAATTATTTCATTTATAAAAATCAATCTACAAGTGTTAAGATTTTAAGAAAGATAATTCGAATTGCAATCTCGTTATAAAAATGATGACATAAAAATTAACTAATTGATATACTTAAAACTGATTTCTGCAAATTCATGAACAGAGCCTATTTACACATATTTGTAACAAACTGTCTGTCTCGGTCACACAATTAGAACTTCGACTGCAAACAAACTGGCGAAAATTCGTACGTAAGTAAAAAGAAAGACAAAATTTATAATTCGTTCTTGTTCTTATCATCAATATTTAATTACTACAAATGTAGATACGGCAGGAAAAAACTGTAAAATCAAAAAGGTCGCGTGAGTGATCCAGAACAATCCATCGCAAAAAGGACAGGTCAAATTTTGAAAGTGCAGTAATAATGCCTCATATTTCTTATTTATGCAAAGAATATTTAATGTTCACACAATTCGCAGAGTTTTCTCATTATTATCAATGATGTCTAAAGTCATGTATAGTTGAAGTCGCGTGAGTGTAGGCTATTTTGTGGCTTTAATCTCAAAAGATAAAAACCGGAGGCCCTTAATTTTTTTTACCATAATACCATGATAATACTCTTAAAATACTCAAAAAATTATTTAAAATATGTTGGGAGTTCAAAAGAAATAAACTTATACTTTGAAAGTTGCAGAATCATTGACCAGTATAAGCACAAAATGTGCAGAAACGGTTTTCCGATAGTACAGATTTTAATTGTAGTCTGTTGTTCTTATTGAATGTGCAATGGTTCAGTAAGTATATTGAAGTATACTTTTCATCATAGAAAAGAGACAGACTATATTAGTTATAACATTTGTGGCATGTCATCGTGCTTGGGGTTCTTATTACGTAACAATAAATCAATATATTAGTATAGCCTTTTAAAATGGTACTACACGTTTTTAGGTATTTACCTTAAATTGCCTGTTTAATGTAAAATAAAAATTCCAAATTTTACCATCCATTTTTAATATATAAATAAAATATTTTTTTTATCAATCATTCAATAACACCCAACTTTTCCACGATATTCCTATCATTTCAGAATTTAATTTGTTGTGCTGCTGATGTGCTCGAAGGTAAAGGTGCTGTCCAAGTGGCCATAACTGTCTGTGAACTATTCCGTCTGCATAGTGGCAATATACAAAATTCCAAATCACCAACGAGAGCAAATCGTGCCGCTCTAACACCCTCACCAATTGTTTAGACAGTATACTAGTCTGATCCCGATCCTTCCCACATCCACATATGCCATATATTTTTTTCAATATCCAGCCACGGGGAAGTAACATAGGTTCCTTAACATTTGGAAAATTTCACAAAGAAATTATGTTTTGTTGTTGTGAAACACAAATGGAAACTTCAAGTATTGTGAATTGTTGTGAAGGCAAAGAAAATTTGCTGCCATTTATAAAAACGTACATCGAGTTCAACGGATGCGAATGCAGATACGAAGAAAGAGTGATGGCTCGTTGACGTCGAAACAATATGAAATTCGATTTTCAATTTAAGCTTAGTACAATTTTTATTTACACCTTTTTTTATACATCGTTTTATTATTTTCGTTTTTCATATTTGTGTAAATTATTTTTTTAATGAAGACTTTAGTTCTGTATTTTTAAGTAGTCTTGGTTTTGTTTGTAATATTTACGATAAACAAAGATAAAGTGGAACAAATCAAACTCAAATCCTGTAAATACATGACACCAAAAATATACTGAATTATATAGACTAAAATAGTTATAGTGCATAGAAGATAGTACGTGTTACTATAAACGAATATATAACAAGGGGTATTGTACGTGCGTCGTACATACAATTATGCTTATACACACATATTTATAGTATGATATTTATATAAATAAACAAGAAATGAATTTAATCACGTCAAGACATTCATTCACCGCCCACAGTCGAATAGAACACATCTAGTTATAATTTTAACTTAAAACACACACTGACACATCGTTTAACTTAACTTTGGCTTAGAAATGTATTCAGAAATCACAAAACATTCAAAAAGTCAATGATGTGAAGTATAAAAAGGAAAATAACAATAGAAACAAATTGAGAAAATCAACGAAAGTCATATACATAGCTTTTTAAAACATATAAAGTCGGCTTAATACATAAACCTTTTATACACCATACATTTATTTTGAGGAAAAACAATGTGACACCAAAAGCCTAGGTAATCCTTATTTTCTAATGTGGTCTGTTACTTATAACAAATTGTTACTTTCACCTAATAACTAAACATTTAGTATGAAAATGATTCACGTATTGGGCCGATTATAAATATATACTTTTTTATTTTCATTTTGTTTATTATTTTTTTATAACTTTATTACAAATATGTTAGTCATTGTAATAGTTTTTTATATATTTTTTTTTAAAGTTTGTACTTGTACTATAAATAATTTGTGATTAAATATGAAAAATTACATTCTTAAATATTATGTCGTTTTTTGTGTTATTCTTTGCCAAGGCGGGATAAGTTCGCACTCTACGCTTATGAGTAGTGTATATTTTTCAAAGTGTAGTGTTTCATTAGTTTGTCATTCCGTTTGCAATACATCGAAATATTTGTCGCATTATATATTTGTAAATTACAAAATGATTTCATTTCACTTATTTCTTGATCAGAACAAAATTCCATGTCCGCCATTCTGTTGAAATAATAATAGAGCTTTGGAAATTTGCACACACATTGCTACTACTCTAGGATGTTTTGGTATTGGAAATGGGATATACATATATTAGCCCATGTTTTGATTTGGTCCCATGTACCCATTCCTTATTTTGGGCACAATTTTCAATCGGACTGTCTGTAAATTGGTAATTTGTGTTCTCTCTTCTTTACAATTTATTAATTAATAACATGCTTTTACCGCATGTTTATGCTAAGCATTGTAGCATTGCCTCTATCCTATTACCCACATCATCTACCACTGTTTCGGAAGTCGTCCTAGTATACTAGTGATTTTTTGTGGCGTGCTCTGTTGTAGTCTTCGGACATATTTTCCTTTGTTCCGAATTTCCCCTTTCATCCAGGGCTATTCGAAGGCAGATTTCCTTTCTAGAATAATGCTAGGTAAATGTTTTCATTTCCCTGTTTCAGTACAGTAGCGTCCGATTTAGGCATCTCTGGGGAGAAGAGAAATCACATTTTTGTGGCATATTATGCAAGTTCTCGGACGAGAGGCTGTATTTGCGATGGCCCCGTAAACGATCTTCTTGGGAGTGGATTATATTATTAACGATGTCCTTACTCACTTCTTCCACCATCTTATTGGCCTCTTCACTCCTCCGGCATTCTAAGACAATAATGTTTGTCTTACCCTCGTGATAAAACTCGAAGTTTGAGTTTGAGTCCCGCCTGTCTCATGTCCGTCCGTCCGTCCGTCTGTAGATGTTAAATTGTAAACAAAGTGCAGTCGCATTTATGATCCAATTTGGATGAAATTTGTCACAAGTCACTTATTTTTAATTTAGTCCAATTCCATGTCAATGGATAGAGATGATATTTACCGGGTAAATACCCAAGGGGTGGGTAAATACCGGGTAAATACCCATTTGCGGGTATTTATTTGGGTATTTACTATATTGACTCGGTAATACAACATCTTACACCCTATTTCCGGATTTCTGTTATCAAATCGATTTAGAATGGATAGTTTTACGATACTTTAAAGACGTGGGTAAATACTTGGGTAAATACCCGAGTTTTTACCCAAAAATTGGGTACAAACTCATTAACTGCCGAACCACTTGACATAGGCGGCCAAAATTTTGCACACATGTTTCTAATGACAAAGAAAATATAGAAATCTAACATGGGGTCCCTGGGTCCAAGTTTTGATATAGCCCCCATATAACCATATCTCCCGATTTAAGGTAATTTTTGTTTATTAGACACATTTTACAACCAAATTGGCTGTAATTTAGCACAGAGTGCTCTTCTGGGTACCAAATGTCCATGCAAAATTTTATGTATGTAGGTCCACGTTTACTGGTAGCCCCCATACAAAGGTACCCCTATTTTGAGTATTTACCCAAAAATTGGGTATAAACTCATTAACTGCCGAACCACTTGACATAGGCGGCCAAAATTTTGCACACATGTTTCTAATGACAAAGCAAATATAGAAATCCAACATGGGGTCCTTGGGTCCAAGTTTTGATATAGCCCCCATATAACCATATCTCCCAAGGCGGGATAAGTTCGCACTCTACGCTTATGAGTAGTGTATATTTTTCAAAGTGTAGTGTTTCATTAGTTTGTCATTCCGTTTGCAATACATCGAAATATTTGTCGCATTATATATTTGTAAATTACAAAATGATTTCATTTCACTTATTTCTTGATCAGAACAAAATTCCATGTCCGCCATTCTGTTGAAATAATAATAGAGCTTTGGAAATTTGCACACACATTGCTACTACTCTAGGATGTTTTGGTATTGGAAATGGGATATACATATATTAGCCCATGTTTTGATTTGGTCCCATGTACCCATTCCTTATTTTGGGCACAATTTTCAATCGGACTGTCTGTAAATTGGTAATTTGTGTTCTCTCTTCTTTACAATTTATTAATTAATAACATGCTTTTAACGCATGTTTATGCTAAGCATTGTAGCATTGCCTCTATCCTATTACCCACATCATCTACCACTGTTTCGGAAGTCGTCCTAGTATACTAGTGATTTTTTGTGGCGTGCTCTGTTGTAGTCTTCGGACATATTTTCCTTTGTTCCGAATTTCCCCTTTCATCCAGGGCTATTCGAAGGCAGATTTCCTTTCTAGAATAATGCTAGGTAAATGTTTTCATTTCCCTGTTTCAGTACAGTAGCGTCCGATTTAGGCATCTCTGGGGAGAAGAGAAATCACATTTTTGTGGCATATTATGCAAGTTCTCGGACGAGAGGCTGTATTTGCGATGGCCCCGTAAACGATCTTCTTGGGAGTGGATTATATTATTAACGATGTCCTTACTCACTTCTTCCACCATCTTATTGGCCTCTTCACTCCTCCGGCATTCTAAGACAATAATGTTTGTCTTACCCTCGTGATAAAACTCGAAGTTTGAGTTTGAGTCCCGCCTGTCTCATGTCCGTCCGTCCGTCCGTCTGTAGATGTTAAATTGTAAACAAAGTGCAGTCGCATTTATGATCCAATTTGGATGAAATTTGTCACAAGTCACTTATTTTTAATTTAGTCCAATTCCATGTCAATGGATAGAGATGATATTTACCGGGTAAATACCCAAGGGGTGGGTAAATACCGGGTAAATACCCATTTGCGGGTATTTATTTGGGTATTTACTATATTGACTCGGTAATACAACATCTTACACCCTATTTCCGGATTTCTGTTATCAAATCGATTTAGAATGGATAGTTTTACGATACTTTAAAGACGTGGGTAAATACTTGGGTAAATACCCGAGTTTTTACCCAAAAATTGGGTACAAACTCATTAACTGCCGAACCACTTGACATAGGCGGCCAAAATTTTGCACACATGTTTCTAATGACAAAGAAAATATAGAAATCTAACATGGGGTCCCTGGGTCCAAGTTTTGATATAGCCCCCATATAACCATATCTCCCGATTTAAGGTATTTTTTGTTTATTAGACACATTTTACAACCAAATTGGCTGTAATTTAGCACAGAGTGCTCTTCTGGGTACCAAATGTCCATGCAAAATTTTATGTATGTAGGTCCACGTTTACTGGTAGCCCCCATACAAAGGTACCCCTATTTTGAGTATTTACCCAAAAATTGGGTATAAACTCATTAACTGCCGAACCACTTGACATAGGCGGCCAAAATTTGGCTCAGATGGTTTTTATATCAATACAAATATTTAAATCCAAAATGGGGCCCCTGGGTCCAAGTTTTTAAATATAGCCCCCATATAACTGTACCTACCGATTTAAGGTACTTTTACGATCAAATTGGTTGTAATTTGGCATAGTGAGATTTTTTTTTTTGCACAAAATATTCATGCAAAATGTGGTTTTTGACACACATGGTTTAAAATCAATATTATTTCCTGTATGGGAAATGGGGTCTTCAAAACACACGTCAAATAGTTCGGCTGTAAAAGAGTTTATAAATATATATAAATACCCAAAATCAGGACCGCTATATAGGACAGAAAAAGTTGACCAGAGCAAACAATTGGTACTCATAGAGAA